GCATTATTCCTCGTAAAATGAGGTTGACCATGAAGGAAAAACCTGCCGTGTTCTGTTGATTTACTTTTGAAAGAATGTGGCTGCAGTCTAGATGCAGACGAAGCCTACTTTTTTTGAAAAAAACAATGTAGTCTAGACACACCCTATGAAACCTTTGAAGAACAAACATTAAGTCTGATCATTAACTGCACCATGAAGTCCCCAACAGAAACTTTACCACCTCACCATCTGTGGATCTAAGTTATACATTGTCTTTTGGCCAATTCAAAAATCAATAGGTATATCCTTATAAAGCTATGAACAAGTCTGCAGTTATCTTTCAAAACAGACTTATTTTTGCCACAAATGATTTCCCTGCCACAAGAGTTGCTGTTGAGGGACAATATTCCTAATTTCCAAATAAGTGAAAGATGCAGCACTGAACACATATGTTTCAAACATGTGTCTTTCAGCAGAAGGATGACAAGCCTCACACACAAGCCTCAAGTACATCCAAGACCTACCATCCCTCTCTCTTCTCCAGTGCTAGTTTCTGAGCTACCAAGTTTCTAAAAATCCTTACATTTAAGGAACAGGCGATGAAATTTGATCCTGTGTGTCAAAGCCAATTCACTAAGAAGTTTCTATATCCATAATAACCCAGTTTATTTCCGATATTAATGTTTATGTTTATACAATTAAACTTCCCATTATCTGAAATAATAAATTTAGTTGGACAGAAGCTCATATTAATGAAGTCAACTGCCTGTTCAAAACAGAAAAATGTACACTTGGTACTTTGGCCAAGATAATACTAATTTACTACAGTTCACCCACCTACAACCAAGACATCAGAAATAGTCACATTTAAGGATCACAGGCTGTATTTTTTAGATATCCTCTAATCCCTGTTTGCCTCCTATTCAAAAATGCATTCAACACTTTTTGTCTGTGTATAAAATAAAAATATATAGAAATACTGTATGTATTTGACCAATACGAATAGCAGATCAAAAGCAAAATGCAAGAAAACAGCAAACAGAGTTTTACTGGTAATCAAGTACATCAAACTTCTTGACACCAAAGTTTATTTAATTTTCAGTTTCATAATTATCTGAGGTATGACACTTCCCTTAAAATATTTCTCCTGTACCTCAATAAGTCATTGTGTCTAAAGGATGCCACCTCGACACTATATAATCTTATCTAGCACCACTGCTTGTACTCTAGCAGAGATAAGAAACACTGGAAAAGCTGAATATGTTGGTTGCGAGATAGCAGGGTTGAGCTTAATAGAAAGAAATGTAAACCACACAGGTGTAAGAAGCCATCACAACTGTACCTGGCTCCTTTTGGACTGGTTCGAGAAATTTGGGCTCTAGCTCTAGATCTTTCATCGTCACTACTTTCTCCTCCTCCTCCTCTTCATTTATTGGGGTTATCTCAATATTTTCATGGACACGTATGACTAAAAAAATTATGCATTCATTAAAATGCCACCTCAACAACTGTATGGAAAGGTAGAAGTTACCAAGAGCAAACTTGCAAGAACCACCTCTCTTCAGGAATATCAGAGTCTCAGAGTCCCATGTTGGTCTGTATCTGTAAAAACAATGAGGAGTCCTGTGGTATCTTAAAAACTAGTGGTATGTCTACACTTGCAGCCTATTTTGGAATAGGGCTGCAAATGTAGGCATTCGGAATTGCAAATCAAGTCCGGGATTTAAATATCTCACGCTTGATTTGCATCTTCCTGGCCGGAGGATTTAAACCTCATTGCAAGAGGAATAACAGGTAGTTCGAAATAGAGCTTTATTTTGAATGCCCGTTTCACTGCTGCGTGTATACACAGGCAGTTATTCCGGGCTTGTAAATTTCAAAAATGGCGCTCGGCCAGGAAGATTCAAATCAAGAACGGGATATTTATGCCTACATTTGCAATCCTATTCCGAAATAGGCTGCAAGTGTAGACATACCCTAACAGATTTATCTGGGCATAAGCTTTCATGGGTCAAAACCACTTTGTCAAATACAGTGGCATTCCAACATAAGAACAGCTAGATTGGGTCAGACCAAAAGCCCATGCAGCCCAGTATCCTGTATTCCAACAGTGGCCAATGCCAGATGCTCCAGAAGGAATGAACAGAAACAGGTAGTCATCCATTTCCAGCCCCTGACAAACAGGCTAGAGACACCCATTCTGGCTAATAAGTATTGATGGGCCTAACCTCCATGAATTTATCTAGTTCTTTTTTGAATGCTGTTGAAGTCTTGGTCTTCCCAACATTGTCTGGCAAGGAGTTCCACAGACTGACTGCACTGCATGAAGAAAAATGTCCTTTTCTTTGTTTTAAACCTGCTACCTATTAATTTCATTTGGTGACCACTAGTTATTATGTTACGGGAACAAGTAAATAACCTTATTCCTTATTCACTTTCTCTGTCCATACCTATCATGATCTCGATCATATACCCCCTTTGTCTCCTCTTTTCTAAGCTGAAAAGTCCCAGTCTTTTTAATCTCTTTTCATATGGCACTAGTTCCAAACCCCAAGCATCTGATGAAATAGTTTTGACCCATGAAAACTTATGCCCAAATAAATCTGTTAGTCTTTAAGTTGCCACAGGGCTCCCCATTTTTGCTTACTAGTTATACTTAAAATGTATTTCTATACTCAACATAATAGGCTGCATCTAGACTGGCATTATTTTGCGCAAAAGCAATTGCTTTTGCGCAAAATCTTGCCGTCTGTCTACACTGGCCGCGAGAATTTGCGCAAGAACACTGACTTTGTAATGTACAAAATCAGTGGTTCTTGCACAAATACTCTGATTCTCCCACTCAGGGATAAGCCCTCTTGCACAAGTATTATTTGGACACAATATTTGGATATTCTGTAATTTAAGCACAGAGCTAGTTTACCACCTTTTCCAAGGTACAAGGAGGGGATATTTTTAGTTTGCTTTCATTACATTATGTTAGTTGCCAACCTCTAATTTGCCAATAAAAGCAGAGGTTATTCACCTTAGCAGTAACTGACATGCTTCGAGATGAGCATCCCAGTGCCATCAACCTG